ACACACACACACACACACACACACACACACACACACACACACACACACACACACACACACACGATCAGAGCCAGGTAGCCATCAGGACTGAGCATTCTGCAGCAGCACGTCCTGGCTTGTGGTCTCCATCTGCAGCATTCCTTGGGAGAATGAGAGCGCCGTGCCAATGTGGTGTGTGTGTGTGCGTGTGCGAGCGGAGATAATGTTTTGATTCACATCAGCAAGATATTGTCAACGAGGGGATAATTAATCACGCTGACAACTACTCAGCAGTGTTTTACACAACTCGGATTCCAGTTTGGAGGAGTCGTATTCCCAAAACGTTTCGACTAATTACTCTGAATCTAATAGTGACAAATTAAGCTTTTTTTCTCTTACATAAACAGGTGATAATAAATGGCATGTATTGTGTAATATCAGATAAGCTTAGTTTTTTGTGGCCTTAAATCCCTGAACAACGAATCGTCAGTAAAAAAAAACTAATATTCTTATAAAAATTGCAAAAAAACTATATCTATTATAGTTCAAGTACATCAAAGGCAACTCTGGTTCACTTATTGATTCATTTGAATTTAATGATCTTGAACTTTCTTTACCCTGCATATTAATAATTGGCGACAAAATGTAGCTATAAGTGGAGACAGCTGCTCTCTTTAAGGACCACAAAACAAACCTTTCTCTGCTTCTTTTAAAGAATTGTATAGAAAATAAAAGTTCAGTATATTTTAGTATTCATCAGGACGATTCTCTTCCACACCACCAACTTTAGCCCCGATAATAATAATAATATTTCAGGCACTAATTCTCTTTGCTGCTCGTGTTTCCTCAGCTTCAAAGTTGTGACATTTGTGTGAAAGTCTTACGTTTACAGGAGTCCGGGGCAGTTTGAGGTCGCTGGGGGTCTCTGTAGAAACCGACTTTGCATTTCTGACACTGCCGCCCTTCGGTGTTGTGCAGACAGTCGCACACACCTCCGCTCCGCTGGCCGGACTCTCGCCACGCCGTCCAGTCGAAACGGCAGCTTCGAGCGTGTCCGTTGCACTTGCACTCTGGTGTGTGAGGGAGATCGACAGTCGGCGACAGTAAAATATATAAGTATATTTAGACTCTATGTTCCCGTTGACTTCTGGTTCTTGGTGTTTGTTCGACTCACTCCGGCAATCGTGCGGAGCGCCCGTCAGGCCGTCGGCGGGCTGCCAGGGTCGGTCGTTGTAGAGAGGAGCGCAGCGATCGCAGTGGTCACCTGCCGTGTTGTGTCTGCACACACACTTCCCATGGACCTGAGAAAGACAAACAGCGTCAGGCAAAATTAGACAGAGACACAAACAAAAGGATGGAAGGCAAAAAAAAACTGGTGACGTTACTGGAAACATTTTGGGCACAATGCTTATACCCACTTTGTGTTTTATTTGACTTCAGATTTTTTTTGGGGGGGTATTACGTATTTTCCAGACACATATTTCAATTCTCTACCACAATCAAGTTGATATGAAAATGCTGTATTTATCAAAATATATCTGAATTTGTACCATAGTCTATCTAAACGCCTTAAAATTGGCCTCTGTCTCTTTAAGAATCTCCTACCGTTTCTGACACTACCACTTCAGCACATTTTCACAAAAAGGCTTCAAGGCAGCGGTGCTTTGTGAGGTGGGAGCTTGGCTGCAGACTGTGCCCCAGGGAGGAGCTTTGTACCAGCAAGCGTTGAGGCAGCTCCACTTGACTACCAGGAGATTCAAGGATTTCTCAAACATAAATGAATGAATCAAAGCAACACGCTGGGTATGTTTTGTTGAGAAAATGACATAACTTGATATAAAGCAAAAAAGAAAAGTTTGAATAACACCCCTCTTTTAAGCAAAAAATAAAAAAGTGATCCATTTGATGATAGACCTTCGTTCTTGCAGTTTAGGCTTTTGACAAAAACTCAAATGTTGATAAGAAAATCAAGTTTCTGTTCATTAGTTGGTTTGGTTTGTTTCTGACTGGTAAGAAAACTGAGTCATGGAAGAACAAAGCTGAGTAAAGAAACTGCAGTTCATTGACAAATGTGTGAGGAAATCTTTGAAGTACATAAAACAATGTTCTTCAAAGAAAGTCTGAAGGAAATCTGTGTATTTTTCTTCTACAGGACATTATGTTAATTACTCTTTAACAAGCATTGTGACTGCGTAGTTGATGGCATTTTAATGTCAGCCTATTGCTGTAATTAAAACTCTCATTCATCT